TTAAAACTGTAAAATTATTTTTTTCCTAGTTCGGGTAGTTCCATTTTAGAGTAGGATAGGTTCAGAAGGAAAATGCTAACAGTTATCATCACTGCCACTCGGAGGCATATATTGCCCATAATGATGCCTTCAAAAATTTTGCCAGAAGAGGCAAGTTGCTAACCTTTATTATCTTTTATCTTTGTTAAACCATTTGGTTTTCCAGATGAAGTTGAGGAGATCCGATAAGTTTGTTTTCGTTATCTCTTTCAAGCCAGTGAAAAGCGATGCTCAAAACATTGAAATCGTCTTGTCTGCAGTCCTGGACAGAGACGCAGGAAATGGTTGATAGATTCTACCTTCTCTTCATCTTGGCAATTGCTGCATAATCCACTTGTTAGAACTCGCCACCGTTGGAGCATAGTCCATTTCCATTATTTGCCTTTTCACTAAGATACTAAAAAATGGAACTATCAGTTTAATCGTAAAGAAAATATTTTTCTCGATACAACTGGGAGCTATCATGGTTATTTATACATCAAATAGTCACAACGGGCTTTAATAAAAATAAAGGTGTCACAATGAGCCATTTTTTTACGCTCAAGCTAGTTTGTTTACAGCAGCTGGTAATGTGAGACTACCTCAAGTGCATTTAGCGATTTTTACTATGAAAAATTCTTGTTGTACGCGATTTTTTGACCAAACACGGCACCACTGTCATCGCTCAGGCACCATATTCGCCAGATCTGGATCCGTGCGACTTTTTGAGTTAAGAGTTGGCATATGTGTATCGCTTCAGAAGGAGCATATTTTGAAGGAGATAAAATAAATTTGGAATAAAATTTAAATTTGTGTGTTGTATTTACAAAATCCGAGTACTTTTTGAGCAGAAGGTATAATATTATATAATTTATATTATATATATAATTTCACGTTAACAAGGACGATATTCGCCTATTAAAAGCGTTAACATTAACATTAATAAGCAATAATAGCAATCAGTAGATTGCACTTTTAATTATATATTTGTTAAGAATGTATATAAATGTATATATATATATATACTCATTCAATTATTTAATATAAATTATGCAAAACAAAAATACATAAAATGAATGATAAAATCATTCAATAAAAATGATGTAAAGAAAAACGTCACACATTAATTTATGAAACACTTAAAATAATTACACAATTAAATCTGTAAATTTTTTTAAATTAACGTAAACTTAATGGAGAGTTTAAGTTAAAGAAAATTTTCAAACAGAAATTAAAATCGAAATTAAAATCGAAACAAAAAGAAAAAAATATCAACGGAAACTCATACGCCTCGTTGCACCAACGCATTGCCGTTAATAGGCAACGAAGTCAATGCAGCATCTTTTGTCTTTAAAAATTCAGTGGCTGCTGTTGATTTTTTTTTGTATTTTTTTTTTGTGTATTTATTTTATTTGTGGCAGTCGTTGAAGTTGGCGTGATAATTACACAATTGTTAATTCAAAACAAAAACTTGAAAGTTAGATACTTTTTGCTAAACTCTAAGTTGCTTTATTTCTGCATTTTGTATTTCAATAGCTGCACTTTTTCACTTTAAACGCATTTGCATGCAACATACAAACGCATTTGCTGAAGCAAACTGCAATTAAAAATGCAGCTGTATCTTCCATGACGTTTACACTTCTTTGTTCTAACAAATTTTTATGAAGTTTTTGAAAACTAACTGAGTATTCATGTATTTTGCATTGTTTTGTTTTTCATTGTTATTTAAATTAAGTAACTTAATTTCCGTTAACAAAAATTACAATCATTAATTAAAATTTAAGCTTTCAAAATAATTAATTATTTTAATATTTCATGATAAGAAGGCATGTACTATTTAAAACACACAAACTCTGATATTACAGAAATCACAAAATAAATCATATACATTCAGGAGTAGAATATTAAGGCAAATTTATTTAACATTGGCTCTATATCTATCTGTTCTTATGTTTATCTCTTAGCGAATTACAAACAAACTCAGCAAACAATGTCTGAAAGCTCTATAAATATTTGTGAATGCCGGCAGTTGGAAATAGGTGTAATTAATTATGTATATCATGTGAAGCCTTTATGAACACATAATGGGCAGATCTTCAGGAATCAACATTATGGGAAGACATGTCCTCTAACTATAAAAAAGGAATTCATTTTGCGTGTTGGTAACTCTATTGGCAGTTGTTGGCAATTCTCTATGGACCCACCTTATCATAAGAGCATGAAAAAAGTAAAGAAAAGATATGGCTCTCTTTGTAAGGCATGCACATTAACTTACTTAACAAAAAATAAAAAATATACCTTTACGAAATTTCTATTGCGATGGCCTATCAATGCGATTCAGAAACAAGCGATTTTCAAACCTAATCGTTTGAAAATCTCAAGAAATTTCTGTACATACAAGCGATTGGAATTGGATGTAATTAGTTGACTTTACCAATCACATGAAATCAACCAAATATCGTGAATTCCAAAGGATCTACAAAAGATCGCATAATCTGAAATGCCATCATTCCCCTATATATAAAAGTCGTCATAAGAACATGAAAGAAATAAGCAAAAGTTATGACTGACTTTGCAAGGCAACGAAAACTATTCGATAAAAAACTACAACGGAAAAATATGTAGTCCTCTACAAAACTCCTATTGTAACAGTCTCTCTATATAGTTCAGCGATGTGGACAATAAAAATCATGATGAATGCTTCTGAACGAGAAAATATTAGAAAATCATCATCCTGTAGAAAATAATGGTATAGAAAGTTGAATTAATGAATATGCATTGGATTAGAGTTAAAAGGTCTTATGCTTAGCAGCGCTATAAAATTACTATAATTGCAAAACGAATAACCTATGAATAACTAAAAAAAGTCCTGCTAAAGAGTTTATAGGTGTGAATCGATATGAAAACAAAAATAACTTAAAGTGCAAACACTATAACCTGAAAGCATTGAAATATAACAAATGGGATTTATTACAGACTAGCGGATAACTAATAAATGTTTTAATGTACTCGTAAATCAAGACTTTATATCAAATAATGAAAATAATATTTTTAAGAAGTAAAGGCATAACAAAAAATTTTATATACATTTATATATTATCACCTTAACAAAATGGGTCTGTCCGAAGAGATAGATTGTCTACTCTGCTTAGAAGCAGACGAGACTTCAAGACTGCCCAGCCTTGATCTAGGCCAGAAGGGGGTCACTGTATCGAAAACTACTTTCCTCTTTTGACATTAGGAGGTCCTTAACGGCCGACATTCTGGCTTTCATTTTTCGTTAGCCGAAACGATAAGCCTGGTTGTTTTATATTTATTTAAAATTTGTAACAGACCTAATTTAATGTCCGATGCTGTTCTTGACGCTATCGGTGTAACTATTGCAAATTTTGTCAGTTTAACGATACTTGTTAAAAAGTACGACTTATTTGTTATTAAAACATCTATATGGTTAGGGTCTGTTGCAGTACAAAAGATCAATCATGGCCACAGCGTTGGAAACTAGTACCCCGTTTACTCCTATATATTAAATTGATAAAAAATTTTAACAGAAGTTGAGTCGATACGAACCGCGTAACATATATGGTATGTAAAGGCATTGATATCTTTAAAAAGCATAAAAACATTTGATCAAGAGTGTAAATAGTATGTATATGTATATTTATTTATAGTACTAATGTACTTATAATAAATTTAAAGTTGGAATGCAATTTTTTTTAATTATTTTTATTTTGTTTCTATTTAATTTTTTATTTATTTTATCTTTTTTTTGTGAAGTATATTTTGATATGTCTGTCTTAAGTAAGCTCAAATAAGATCATCACCTGTTTTACCTATTTTACTTTTTCATAAATAAAAAACAATGTCGAAAAGAAATTAAAAACCTAATAAAAAAATAATTTTATAATCGTACTGAAATGAATAATTACGATGATATAATTATGAACTTTGCTGACTACTATTTTTATTTTAACTATAAATGAAACTTCATATTAACGAGAAAATTACTCTGAGTACACCTTGACCTTAGGAAGTTATACTCGTATTATGTGGAAATTTTTATGAATGGTAAAGCAAAAATATGCAAACTCCGCTCTAATTTGGCACAAATATTTAAGTCATAAAAAAGTCAAAAATACTTTTAGATGAAAAATTGAATAAATTCTATTAAAATTATACAAAAGCACTAAGAGTATAGATATATAAGCAATATATAAGAATATGTTATTTTTTGTATTATGTTTACTACAACTGGCAAATTGTATTGTTTCTTGACCCAGATAATTTTTTTTATTCAACAACTAACAATACTTTTTGCCCCGACGTTACACAGAAACGGACATTATAGATCTAAAAGTAAAATTTATAACAAAGGTTATATTTTTCGTATTTTCGCTATATATTTTATTATTATTTTTAAAACTTTATAAAATCGCTAACGATGTGTCAAAAAATATTATCTTCATTTAAATATTAATATTTTTATTTGTTTAAATTGAAGTAATCATTTTGTCTTGATCATTTGTCATTTTAAATTACTCAGCGAAGAGTTCTTTCAAGCTGTCATGGCCGTTTATAGCCCTACGTTGGCAGTTTTGAAATCTTTCCATAGTTAACAGCTTGATTAACTGTTAAAAGAAAAACAAATTTATACCTTAAAGCCATTATCTTTATTCGTCTGGCAAATTCCTTTTTCTTCTCATAATGCAATCATTTGCATTTTTATAAAATTTTCTTTTCCCATAGCGAATCTTTTGTTTCAGTTCTTTGTTTTTCTATTTCTTTTTTCTTTAGTTGTTGTTGTTTTTTTCTTTATAAATTATGACTTGGACCGTAGTTTTCATCATGTTGACAATCTTTTTTCTTTACTGACTTATACAAACCCGTAATTACAGAGTTTTTTAACGTTTATTTTTATAGAAAAATATTAATTTAATTATTTTTCTCATCATTTTCTTTTTTATTCGTTTTTTTAATTTTAGATTATGGAATTAAGTAATTTTACAACATCGAAAAAAATGTCACGCGAAGAGCGTCGATATTCGGTTCCGCATGGACCGAACACACCATTGCCACCTGCTGCTTCAGAGGACTTACATGCGTGGTCAATATACAGGTAATTTATTTTAACTTTCATATCTCTTTTCAATATTTTAACTAACACATTTAACTATAATATTTTTATGTATTAAAATAATATCTATTGTATAATATCTATTCACTAACCCGACTGTTGTCTGACTTATGAGGAGGATTATATAGAGATATTGCTTAATGTGTTGGTAATCAAGTCTCTTCTTCTTCTTCATTCCATTGTTTTCCAGGGGAACATTGGGCCATAATATCTATTTACTAACCCGACTGTTCTCTGACTTAACAGAAGGATTATATAGAGATATTGCTTAGTGTATTGGTAATCAAGTACTTGTCAATAAACTACATTGTTGCACAGATAGCACTTGTTGCAGTAAAAATATATAATAACATCACATTGCGTTATTCTCTTGATCTGTAATCCTTGATCTGTGATTGAGTGTGGTTGATTTTAATAGCATCAGAACTTCTCTTATATACATATATTAATTGGGACCAACAAAATGCGACTCATTTTGGGACAGAAGAAAGATGGAGAGCTAGATTCAAAAGTGTATCTATTAGCTTAATTGATGAAAATCGTTCTGGCCAGTCGAATTTATTGAAAAACTATATCAAGGGATATTGAACAATCAATGATTAAAAATCTGTGGGCTCACGGAAATTGTTGGCATTTTACTATACCGCCCTTGAAAAATATTAGATAAAGGTTAAGTGATGAGAAAGATATCCGTGCCTTAGATACAATATTTACTAAGCTATTTTATAAACGTGACTTATTGATATGTTACTTTTTAGTTAATTAATTAATAGTAATTATTTATTGATAATTGGATTGTTTCAGTGTTCAGTAATAAGTTTATATATCTATAGTACTCTGATACTTCTCCTACGAAGATTACCAACCCATATTTTAAAAATTTGAATATATTATAAATTAAATATGTGAATATAAGAGCATCTATTTTATTTTTTTTTTGTTCATATATTTGATATTAATTTGTTTGTTTGATTATCAAACGACAACGCTTTGTTACCATATTCGTATTTACTCATATTAATTGAGGCGCAGCTATTCTTAAGCTATATTAAAAATTATAGAAACAGTTAAAATTCTAATTACAAACCAAAATAGTTAACAATAAAAATAAAACAAAAACTTAAATTCATTTCCGTTCTAAAGCTTTTTGGCCTTGTCAATCATTTAATGGTATTACCAATAAATTTTTTCATTGAGGAATACGTTTTACCTCAGTAGAAATTGAAAATTTGACTTTGCGGTTGATTAACTTAATCAACATCACCGTCAACATAATCATCAAAAGCCTGCAACTAACTTGTTAGGGAATCAATGTAACCACACCTTTTTTGAATGCACTTCCGGATGTGCCTAGGCCAAACAACCACTTGACCGTTGCAATTGTCATAAGAGTTAATAAAAAATTATACAACTGACATGTACCATTAAAAAATACAATAAATATTTATTAATTTAAGCATTTTATTTTTCTTTTCCCTCCTTCAATGCCTAAATATTGAAACCACCGCGCCTAAAACTCAATATCAAAACATCTTCATTGTCAAAACCCACTGAAACAAAATAGACAAAATTTGAACTCAGACTTTACTGACTCAGCATTGGGTTCATCAGACAAATCACCGCTGCCATATGGAAATTTCCAATTACGCGATACAACAGTGCAATCAATATTAAATCACCCACGTTATGGGCCAAAGTAAGTAAAAAATAATCATCATTATCATCATACAAATTAATGTTTTATAATTTACTATAGATCACCGTTGGGGTCTAATATGTATACATATTTAAAATTTGGCCTGCCACGTGTTTTTCCGCCAAATGCAGGTTCACAGCGTTCACATCGTGCAGGTCCAGGACCAGGTAATGCGCGTGGACGTATAAATCGTGGTTTTCGTGATAGTTCAGGTGGTCCAGCAGCAGGTTCCTCTGGTTATGACAGCAGTGACAACGAAACAACACGCAGTCGTGTGCCTCCCAATTTAAGGTATATCAAACATAATATCTACAAATTTTTCTGTCTTCATTTTTAAATTTTCCATAAGAAAATATCGCAGCGAATCTGATTTTCGTAACATTGGTGGCATGCCAAGTTCACGACCTGACTCTCGAGCACAAGGTGTACCGATTGCTGCTTTAAGACAAGCAAATAGTCGTGCTAGCATAGCAGGTAACATTAGTATTGGTCACATAATTTATTATAAATTATTTTGATAAACTTTCTATTTAGTGGGCACACATGCCAATAATCATCACTACATACCTAACGGCAAACACTATGGCCATCGTTCACACAGCGAAGCGGATTTACTTTCCGGTGGCAATGATGGTATTAGCTATGATTATGGTGAATCACGAATTTATGGTACACGTCATCGTACTTCAGATCATCCGAATGGTGGACATCATTCGAATTACGGTATAACGACTAGAAAACAGTCCAGCATAGGTTTAGTCTATCCCAATATACAAGTTCATTGTTTGGATGTCAATCCATGTTTGCGTGGCGTTTCGCTACAGGCAAAAGCAGGCGATTTGTTTGCTATTATGGCAACATCACAACGTGAAGGCACTGCACTTACAGAATGTTTGGCAGGTCTACGAGAACGCATGGGTGGTGAAATACTTATAAATGGTCAACAAATTAATAAGCGTGGTCTTCGAGAATTATGCAGTTATGTACCGGCTTTAAATGTATCTTCATTAGATCCCCGTATGAGCGTACAGTGTACTCTTAACTTTCATTGTGCTCTAAGAGGTCCTTTAAATCGTAATGATTTGGAAGAAAGGGTATATACTTAAATAAAACATTGATATGCTAACGTAAAGAGCTCTAATTTTTGTTATTAATTTCAGATGGATGTTCTTATTGAAGACTTAGGTCTTACTACAGTACGTGCATCAAATGTTTCCTCTCTAACGCATTCTGAGAAGCAACGTTTAAGTGTGGCTTGTCAGTTATTAGCACAGTCATCGATCCTAATACTAGATCAAGTTACTAGTAATATGGACATTTTTGATACATTTTTCTTAGTGGAATACTTACGGCAATGGTGCAATGGTGGACGTATTGTTATAATGACATTACAACCACCAACATTTGAAATACTTTCTATGTGCTCGGGTGTATTATTGCTGTCTGGCGGAAGAACAGTTTTTTCGGGTAGTCGATCGGATTTGCCAAGACATATGGGCGAATTAGGATATCCTTGCCCACCATTCAAAAACCCGGCTGATTATTATTGTAAGAAAAATATATATTTTATTTTATTTTACGAAAAAAAATTTTTTATATATAAAATAATTCTAAAAGTAGTTATTAGTGAAATACGTATCTATTTTATATGTATTCCGGATTCGAAACTATGTGATAAAACTATGTTAGACTAGTTCTACAAACTTCCGAACTTTAGAACACAAATTAAGAGTTTTATTTGACAAATTTTAAAATATTCCCATTCATTATTGGGCTACAAATAACTTTAGCTGAACAATCACACGAAGTATAAAAAATATAGCAAAAAAATGCGGTTAACCAATAAGATTGATTGTATATAACTCTTATATATAACTGTTCCTCGAATTTATTTTTTATTTACATTTTTAATTTTTTTTTATTTTTATATATCATATGTGCTATAAATAGTGGATCTAGTAACATTAGATGACTTATCCGCTGCTGCCATGCTGGAGTCATCAGCTCGAATAGAAACACTCGCAAACAATTGGGATCAAATAAATTCAGAACCACCTCTAGCAGCTCCACCAGCATCTTTAACAAATTTCACCAGAAAAGCTGGTGTACTAGGCCAAACTAAAGCACTTATCAAACGATTCACATCATATAAACAACCGGGCTCATTATTAACATGGATAAGTAAACTAATAGCAGCAGCGCTATTATCGCTTTGTATTGGTTGCATATTTTGGGATGTACCAGCTTCAGATCCACAACTAACCTATAACGATCGCCTTGGTTATCATCACTGTGTCATAGCTTTGGCTTATTGGCCATTAGTCATGCTAACAATACGCGTAGCACAAGAGGATCGTAAACATGCAGAACGAGATATACGATTGGGATTATACTCGAGAACTCTTTATATAATAGTACAGGTAATGCAGAAGTTTAAATTTTTAGTATAAAAAAATTTAATAAAAACTATTTTATTCATAGAGTATTCTGGGACTTTTCCCAAGCTTATGCATTTGGTTGGCTTATTTACTGCCAGCACACAGTATGGCAGGTCTTTACACTTATTCAAAGACTAGTGATACAGGCATATATCTATATATGGGTAAGTTCAAAATATATTTAAATAAAAATTTATTGCAAATTATCTTTCTCAGGTTACATGTTGCTATTTCTAACATTAATACAAACACTTGCACTCTTCTGTGCACACTTGATGCCCACCAAAACGTCAGCTATAGTGTTCAATGCTCTAATCACGCTGGGACTAACAGCTGTCGGTGGCTATTCAGTGCATCCCCGTAATCTTTCAAAACTATGGTCTTGGTCACAACTTATATCACCAGAGAAATGGTTACTACCTGTGTTGGTACAAGATGAGTACAGCTATGATACTCTATCGAATTCTGGAAATTTGCAGCTTTGTCGCAATAAACAAGTAAATAATTTGGAAGAAATTACAAATAACTACAGTCCATCATTAAATATTCTTTTTATTATATTTAGGTACAACATCAAGAGATTATCGTGCAGCAGACATGCCCACCACCTGACGGTGCAGCAGTTCTAACAGATTTTCTGTTATTACCAAATCAACACATTTTAGATCCAACACCCACATATGATCAGACAACGACATTGGCTTTAGTACTAGGTTCGGTTATACTCTTTGTGGCAACTTTCTTGGTTTTCGTGTGCAATTGTAGCAGAACATTTCGAAAGAAACAGAAACGCATTTAAAGCATTTAAATTCATTTATGGATAGTTAGTTAAACAAATACTTATTAAATATTTTATATTGTTTTTTATTTAGAAAAAGAATATTATCAAAAAAATATTTAAAAGCAAATATTTTTACATAGTAAATAAGTTGGCAAGATGCCGACCTGTAATAACTGTTGCACCGATTGGTGCCATTTGATGTACTCCTAATTTATTAATTTTATTATTAATAATTTGTTTAAATATTTTATTTTGACTTCCATAGTTTATAGATGAGTTGCACATTTTAAAAATGCATTTAAAATTAAATTCAATTGATTTATTTTATAATTCCTTAGGATTAATATGAACTTGTTGCGTATGGAAAAAAAATTATTTTTAATGAGAAATTATTTAAATTTGACACAAAACATTATATAGATTAAAGGATAATAATATCTTTAGAAATAAAACTAATTGTAAAAATATAAAATAAAATTTTAATAAAATTTTACAACTACAACCAAATTTAAATTTAATTTACTTAATATTAAACGTTTTATTGTTTAAACTTACTATCTAAGATATATATCTTATCACTCATATAAGTGAGATCACTTATAGACAAACACACTAAGAAGTAACTAAAAAAAAACTAACAATAAAAGGGTAAAACACTACGCTGTGAGAAAAATATAGTAAACAATATATTTCTCTAATTACTTCACTTTTATTTCTTAACATAGTCCTTTTAGATCCATTTATTTGTTCCGGAGATTCTCCAACTTTTTTTAATTATAAAAATAATATTTATCAAAACTAAAATAAGACACTGTCTCATTGATAAGCCGATTTCTGCTAGTAAATCTGTTAGCTCTGAATCTAAAAATTTTAATTTTTAAGTCGGAAATAGACCAATAGCGATTTTACAAAACCATACATAACTGTTATGACCGAATTGTTTTTTGTATAATATAAATATTATTATTTAAGTAATAGGCTATTAAAGCACCCCGACCTAAAAGACCTATTGTGCGCCTAAAGGTCCAACTAGGACAATTTTAGACTATTTATAAATCTTGTGATTGCTGTGGGCTTAATTTTACCTATTTGACTTGGAACTAATATCCCGCTTCCAAGGTAATCGAGTCTACGTCTTGCCACCGCTGGGCAGTTGCATAGAATATGTTCTGATGTTAATAATATAAATAACTTGCTGGGATAAATTATTTATTATCTTTTTGATCTAAATATATTTATTTATAATACTGGTGTATAGTATTACAAAATCCCGTTCATTATACAAAATTTGTTTTACTCGAGATAATTCAGGATAACTGTTTCCTTAAGAAACAAGGAATTAAGTTGAATGACCCAATGTGATTGCTTTGCAAATCTACTTATATAATCTATCGTAGATCAGGAAACAATTCTAAAATTGAAAATTCGATGATCATATATTCTGGTACACAGAATTTGATTATGAGAACCAAATATTCGTCAGTCTAGGTACGAAGGCTTTGGTAATTCTCACCGTTGTAAATGTCTGCAGTAGACATCTACTATCAGAAGATCTAAAATACAAAAGATAATCCATATGTCAATAACAAGGGTACGGTAAGATTCATTGTTCGAAAGATCCAAACTCTTAGCATGGTTTCCTGATAAATCAAATCAAAACAGCATATGAACTCAGTTAACGATTTTTATTGATAATATAATCATTATCCACGTTTAAAAATAGTATAATTTTTGTAGAAATTTTCCAATTAAATAGTTTAAGATATATTCAATTATTTTTAATTCACCAAATTTAATTTAGCTTAATATAAGTGTATCGTTTTATAAACTCTATTTTCACAATGCTTTTATTAACAATTACTATAAAATGCAAATGTTTTCAAAGTTCTAAATCTATTAAAATTAAATCTAATTCAAGTTATTTGTCATTTTTTTATGCTTCATTGAAAAATTTAACAAACATTAATTTGGATCATTAATGATGGAATAAGCGTAAATTAGTGTGTGCCATTATAATGCCATGTTCATCACAAGCCGCAATTACGCCAGCATCATTTGTAGATCCAGAAGGACTGGCAATATATGAAACACCGCTCTAAAATAAGATAAATAAATAAGAGTAAATATAAAATATCATAGAATATGTAATACAAACCAATCTAGCGCGATCAATATTGTCTCTGAAAGGAAAGAATGCATCTGAACCCAAAGCAACACCATCTAATTTTTTCAACCATTCTAATTTTTCTTCATTTGTTAAAGGTGCTGGTACAACATCGAACCTTTCATTATTTTAAATTTAAATAAGTATATATAAAGAAAAATTAATAAATAAATATCTTACATAGCTTCGAATTGTGTAATCGGCATATCCTTCCCAACTGTACCATTTACATAGTTATCAATAGCATTCGAGATTTCTGCACGTTTCACGCCAGTTTTAAATTTCATACCTGCTACTCTAGGATGTTGACGCAACCACCAGTTATCTGCTTTTTCGCCAGCCAAACGTGTACAATGTATACGTGATTGCTGACCAGCACCAATGCCAATAACTTGACCATCACGCGCATAACAAACAGAATTACTTTGTGTGAATTTAAGTGCGATTGTAGCAACAATTAAATCGCGTATAGCATTTGTTGATAATTTATTGTTTTTGGTAACAACATTTGCAAACAGTGTTGCATCGATAACAGCATCATTACGTTTTTGTTCCAAAGTCAAACCAAAAATTGTTTTACGTTCAATTGCACTGGGCTCATAATCAGCATCCATCTAAAATTACAAGTACATACATATTAACACAAATATTGTGGAAATAAAGAAATAAATAACATTACCTGTAAAATACAGTAAGCGCCATTCTTTTTCTTTTTTAAAATTTCAAAAGCTTCAGGTAAATAACCTGGCGCAATTATACCATCGGATACTTCACGTGCTATAATTCTAGCCGTTATAACGTCACACACATCTGATAAAGCCACAAAGTCACCAAATGAAGACATACGATCCGCGCCACGTGCACGTGCATAGGCAGTGGCTAAAGGTGTCAAATCATCATATATATCATCGACCATGCAAAGTTTAGCCTGCTCTCTGCTCAGTGGTACGCCGACAGCAGCACCTGCTGGTGATACGTGCTTAAAGCTAGTGGCTGCCGGTAGTTGGAGTGCACGCTTTAATTCGCGTACCAATTGCCAACCGTTAAGTGCATCACAAAGATTGATAAAACCAGGGGATGCATTAAGCACTTGTAGCGGCAATTTCTCTAATTGTGTATATAGCTGTGCTGGTTTTTGATGTGGATTCATGCCGTAACGTAAATTAAGCTGAGATACACTAGGCGAATACTGCTTGCGGAAATAATCAGATATGGCATCATCATATGTAGCCGTATGAGTGAAAGCTTTGAGTGCCAACATTTTTCTATTCACAAAATTATTTTTATTATTGCGAGATATTATTTATTACAATGACCTTAATTATTATTTATAAAACGTGGTTGGTAGTTACCTTGTTTCTAATGTGGTATCGCCGTGTTGTTTTAATTCATCCACAACTTTTCCATAATCGTTAGCATCACATATCACCGTAACGCGTGCATGATTTTTAGCAGCAGCACGTAATAATGTCACACCACCAATATCAATATTCTCGACTGCATCTTCCACGGACACATCGGGTTTTGACACCGTATTAACAAAAGGATACAAATTGCAAACAACCAAACTGACTAGAGAATAATTTTGTTTTTGTATGTCTGCAAGATCGGTTTCAGTGGTACGTGCTAGTATGCCAGCATGTACAGCGGGGTGTAAGGTTTTTACACGTCCTCCTAACATTTCAGGTGCACCTGTTACAGTGGAAACATCCTCCACAGCTAATTGAGAGTTTCGCAATAGTGTTGCTGTACCACCACTAGCTACTAAATGATATCCAAGTGCTGTTAGATTTTTACCTAGTTCTACTAATCCCGTCTTGTCAGAGACACTTAAAAGAGCTGAAAAATTATATATTTAAATAAATATTAAAAACTTGTTTAATTTTAATTAAATACCTACCAATTTGTTTGGTTGCCATTGTTAATAATACTTTTCTACTACTTCACTGTGGTATCAGTCGTTCTGCGGTTAAAGCTGAACTGAAAATAGGTGACACATTGTTTTAAGATTTGTATAAAAAATATTTTGCAAAAACATGTTGATGCAGTTTTGGTGTTAAGTATTGCAATCAATGACCTTTCCAATTTAAGATGATTATTTTTGAGTTGATAAGTAAATAAAAATTTTAATATTACTATATTTTAAAATTAATCTATATGCATGACCTAACACCAGCTAAGAGTTATCAATTATTATGTATGAATATGTAATGCAAAAACTGGATGGTTTGAAAGAGATGTAATGCTAACAACTGTTGATTTCTATAAAATAATCTTTATACATTCTTTATTTTTATATACTAGCATACAATTACTGATGGTATCCTCCATAAAATATACAAATTATATTTCTAATGCAGCAAAACTTTATTAAGTCTTCAATAAAATAAACATATTTTTTTTAATTAGTTTTCATTGCTCTAACTTTTCCAAACTTTGACCAAGGCATATGTATATTTGAAGTATATGCATATTCAGCAGATCAGTTCCATAATTATTCGGTCTTCGACCCATCGAAGTAAATATCTGGCTATCAGCTTGAATATTACACAACATAAATAATATTATGTTTTCAATTTATATAAATTTTAAGGGATTTGTATAAAGACACATGTTACAGTAACTTTAAAAACCATATTTAATTACTAATAAAATAATTATATCACACGAAAAGTTCAAAACCCGTATGACGAAAATTACGATATACTTTTAAAAAGTTTTTGAGAGAAAACTAACATTGGGGTATGGGTTGAATGTATTTTTATTAACAACTAAAACTGAATGATAGTGGATATTGAGATGCGTCCGAAATAGCTTTACGATTAATCTAAAATTGCAATTAAACTATTTATTAATATATTATAATTGAAAGAATTGTTTTCTCTATTTAACTAACGAGTATGTGCTGTTGACAACGGGAATTATTTTTAAAATACAGTCGCTTTTGTATTTGCGATTTCCGTTGTGGCTCCCTGATTTAGATTCTGTCGTTCTTGTGATTTCCGTGAGACGCATTAATTCGTACACTGTCACAGTTAGATTAGGTTGACTTGAATTATCAACTTTGCCAACCAAATCCCACTTAAACAGAAATAATTGCCTGTTGTAATACCACAGATAAAAACGTTGTTCAGACACCTGATTAAGTGGACCACCAAAACACGTTGATAAACCGCAGTAGCCAGCGCGCAGATAACGTAGAAGTAAACAGACACGAATCCTTAACTTATGTAAAAGTGAACCAATCTAACATCTCTATAAACTTGTCTAGATTGCTATAATGGAATATATACTTTTTCCAGAACTAGACCTTTATATAGAAAATGTTTCATTGTCATTTATTCCTCTTTTTCGCTGCAGCTTATACAATTATATTTAAAGGAGATGGAAAATTTTTCAAAATTCGTTTTCTGCCCATACGATCACTTTTATTAAAATTCAGTAATATTATTGAAAAACATATATAAAGTATTTATTCCAGCACATTTACACATTTTATTTAAAACCACACTCTAAAGTTTGGAACCATTTAACCTTTAAATCGTGCTGGTAGCAACAAGTGTTTGTGGTGGCAAATACTTTTAATATTTAATAACACTAAAATCTAATAATAAATTCCATAGAACTGGATTTTTAATTAAATATATTTCACAAGTACATATAAACCACAAGTTGTTAATGTAACACATTCAATATATCCCACGTAATTATCTAAAACTTTAGAATTGTGATCCAATTGAATTGTTACAAATTTTAAAAAACAAGTTTTTTTCTCTTTCTATGATTTTAAATAAACTAATAAAATTTAATTAATAATATAAAAAACTTTATTTGATTATTCATATACACTATATATCAATAAACGCATATTTAGTAAAAACCTGAACAAATTTTTTTTAAAAATAAAAGATTTAATAAAAAATATCTATAACATCTAATAACATCTATAAGATGTTTTTCTTAAAAACTCACTTGATTCAATTAAATTTGCAAAGCACTGTTTGTTATTAATTAAAAAACGTGCCGCTAAAAACTGCACGTGAAGCAAATGAAATCCAAAGAAAATGGAACTTGAGAACAAAATGAAATGAAACAAATGTTTTGCCATATATTATTAAGCTTAGGCGAAATGACGCGATCACTGCCAGTTTACGTATACAAATTAGTTTTGCTTCTAAAATAAATACTACGCCGCATGAAAATTGAAGTAGATTTTTATTAATAAAAACTTAATATTAAATAAAATCATAAAATAAGACACATTTTTAAGTATCAAATGCAAGTATCTTTGCACATGTAAAGTCTTTTATTATTATTTTATTAATAATTTGAAATAAAAGGATGCTATAACTTTGTGACAAACCTTAAGGCTCAGTTAGACGGTAGGTAACGTAAGAAATTAATTTAAGGAAGCAGTAAGAAATTCGCTCTCTTACAACATAAAAAAATGGATAATGCCCTTACATATTCTCTACTGATAAGATAATCAACAATTTCCAATGGTTTTTCAGTAATACAATTGATAAGCATTTATTTTACGAAAATAATCAAAATATTCACAAGTTTAAAATCATATGATTATACTAAAAATATGTAGCATTTTGAATACTTAAACATAAATGAACAAAATTTGATGCTATGTAACCTAGAAGTGCGACTAATCAGTTAATAATATATATAACAATATATATAAACATATAATTATCATATAATTATCAAAACATACTTAAAAATACTATTTATAAAATATTATTGTTAAAAATATCTTATTAGTTAGTATCTTTCAAAAAGCTTTTATCTTTTTCACCTAAAATATTTGGTGGTAAGAGTTTTATAATCTCCTTTGGATGTTTACGTAATATTTTTTGACGTTCATCTTCAATTTCTTGCAATCTATAAATAAAAATTAAAAATATTTTATGAAAACTATTATTGTTAAATAATTATTTTTTTTGAAACATACCTCTGACGTTCTATCAAAAGTTGTAGATCACGTTCATGTATTTGTTTAATTTGTTCCTCTGTTCGTCTATTCCGCAGTTCTTTTAACATTTCCTCAACTTCACGTTTATGTTCCAATTTTTTTTGCCTTCTGCGTTGATCAGATAATTGTTCTAATTTATCCCGTTCGGCTAACATATTCAAACGTTCGATACGGATTTGCTCTTCTTTCGCTTTTTGACTATCCAATTTCTGTTGTAATAGTTCAGCTCTATGTTTTTCAATTTCTTCTCGTACTTGCATACGTTGTCTTTCTTGTCTCTCTAAATTTTGTCTATATCGGAAGTCTTCCACAGCTTTGCACTCTTCAATTAAAAGATTCTGTAAAACATTTTCCCTGCGCTGTTTCTCAGTCTAATTTAAAAAAGGATAAAAAGATTTTAATGAAGATAATTAACATTTTAGATTTCATTTAACGATAGTTTTCCAAATGAATTAAAAAGGTTTTTTTTTTAATTTAAACCATCAATACTTTTAGATCTATACTGCTAACACATTTTAGCTGCAAGGATATTGGATATATTTAATTTTTTGTCTTCAAATTAGTTCAAATTAGTTGTTTAGATAAGTTATGCTTGGATCATAAATATTAATTTCTTAAAATTTATTTTTAATTAAAAAATCTATTGATTTATTAAATCAATTTTTTGGCGTTTTGTTTGAATTATTATATTTGGCAAGTTACCTCTGCACGATGCAATTGCTGACCAATTGTGTCCGCTAATAACCGTTTTTCCTCCATTGCATGCTGCCTAATACTTCTAAGTCGTCGTTGCTCAGCATCACGTTGTTCTTGTATTCTTATTATATTTTCATTTTCTAATTTATCTCTCATATTTTCTAAAGCTTGTAAATGCTCTTTTTTCTGTTTCCAAAGTTCCATTTCCTGTTTGGCATGTTCGCGTTGTTGCATTAGAGCTAAGGATTCAGCATAGAGTTCGTCTTCCAGATTTTTAATGAGTTTTTGCATCTCAACGTGTTCACACACTGCCACTTCATATTTGTCCAATCGGCGTTTATTTATTTCTGCAATTTGTTGTTGCAACATGTCCCGAAATTGCACCTTTTGTAAGCGTATCTTTTCCTCTTCAGCTTTTTGTTTTTCTTTCAATTCTTCCAGCTCTTTACTTATACGTACTTGTTCTTCAAGCTTAGAAATTTTTTCCGTTTCCCTCTTACGTTCCAGCTCAGCCTTTTGTAAATCCAACTCTTTGTAAATGTAGGCATTACGTAGTGAACGTTCCAGCTGCCGTAAGTCTTCATTATTTTCTCGTAAAAGTTGACTTCGTTTTTCTTTTATAAATTCTTCACGTTTCCGCGCTCTAAGTTCTGGATTTATTGGGACATTTTTATTTTGTACTGTTTTATGTTCAGTGTTATTGAAAATGTTATTCATTTCGATAGGAATTTTAGTATAGAATTTTATTTGAAAAACAAATGCCTAAGCTGCTCCCAAGCAACCACACAAAATAAATATGGAACCGCTCCACAGTATTATACTAAATCATTCGTAATTATTTTACGTACTTAATATTTTGTATGAACTTAATAATAATTAGTTTTATATAATACTTAAAAGGCAAATATCCGTTTTTATTTAAACGAGTTATTAAAATTAGCGCTGTATTTGTTTTGATTAGAAAATATTGAAAACGGAATGAATTGACATTTGTAATTAGTGATGCCATATTTATGATAATATAAACCTTTATTGTTTAGTTTTATACA